TTAAGGTCATTCTCTTCTGCTTCATCTGCATTGGGATGTTCAGGTCTTGATGGTGCAGAGTCTCTAGACTCTGGTGGTGTTATATATGTCTTTCTGTTGTTGGATATGTTCTTATGGTGTAGTCTTCCCATCTCTTCTTCCAATGTAGGTGGGGGTCTCTCCTTTTCCTCTCAACCAGAGGGTGTAGGCGCAAGACTGGAATGTCCCTCAACCATATGGTGTAGAGCAAGACTGGAATCCATATGGGTGTATTTTTTCCTCCATTTTTATTTGAATTAGAAACAAGATTGTTTTACATGTCAATCCCAGTTCCCTCTCTCTCCCGTACTACCCCCTCAACCAACACCCTACGTATTTCATACCCTTTCTGTTCCATATGGGTGTATTTTTAAGATACTTATTTTAATTCCTTTCAATAGGTAACCAGATGTGAGTTTGGTGTGTGTGTGTGTGTGTGTGTGTGTGTGTTCATTGGATTGCATAATACTTGTATTTTTATGTTTAAGTATTTTTGATTTTATGCATATGAATGTTTTGCCTGCATGTAGGTGTATGCATTACATGCATACAGTGCTTGCTGCATTGCATGCCTTTGCTTTCTTGGTGTCCTCCATCCTTTCTGGCTCCTACATTCTTTCCTCCTCTTCTTTGGGAGGAAGGATTTGATGGAGAGATCCCCTTTATGGCTGAGTGTTGATGGTCTCCCATTCTCTGCATAATGTCTGGCTGTGGGTCTCTTTTCCCATCTCTTGCAGGAGGAAGCTTTTCTGATGATGGCTGAGCAAGACACTGATCTATGTGTATAGCAGAACATCATTAGGGGTCATTTTATTGTAGGGGTGAAGGCTCTATGTAGGGTCCTAGAGGGCAGCTGAAACGGACGCTTGGAGTGCTGACCCTGGGTTATCAGTTTATCATGTAATTGATTTCTCCCCAATAAAAGTAACCTATGTCATCCCTATCCTGTGTATGATAATTTTACTCCAACAAGTGGAATATCTGAATCTTGAGGTAGATAGATTCCCATGTTCCTGAGGAACTGCCACACTGGTTTCCACAGTACCTCTACAAGTTTGTTCTCCCACAAGCATTGGCTGAGTGTTCCCCTTACTACACATCCTCACTAGCCTGAGCTGTCACTAGTGTTATTAATCTTAGCCATTTTGATGGGTGTAAGATGTAGCTTAATCCCCCTCCCAAAAAAGGAAAGAAATTTTGGGAAAGATAACCCCCCCCAAAAAAAACATTTGGTTTGGTTAGAATGATGCCACTAAAGTAGTGATTCTTAGCCTTTTCCCTCTTCTGTTTTATTCTTCCTCTGAATGATGGAGTTTTCAAAGGAAGATCTGATTTTTTGGTTAGGCTACTTGTATGGATCATTGATTAGTGATGCCATGAACATGTAGCTATGATGCCAAGGCAAGGCTGGAGACTTCCTATGTATTCGGCAGCTTCATTTTTTGATAAGCACCCCAAGTCTGTCACAAGCTACTGCACAGCTCCCCAACTGTTTGGTGATCTTGCCATCACAGTCCCCTTTTATAAAGAAGGTTTTGATTCTACATTGTTACCCAGCAGTTTGGGGAGGGATTGGAGAGATGGTTCAATGGTTAAAATCGCACAGTATTACTGTAGAGAACCTGAGTTTGTGTCTCAGAAACCATGTTAGGTGGCTTACAATAGCCTGTAAATCTAGCAACAGGGGATCTGATGCCTCTGACCTCCATAGGTATTGGGTCAGGAAGAACCTTAGTGAAATGTTGGAAGATGCTTTTTCTGCAGATGGTTGGTAGATTATAATGTGGTGTGAGAGTGGCTGAGCTACAGAGATCAGTTTCCATTCAGCGATACCCTGTGCTAAATTTGGAGTCCTAAGAGGAAACTGGTGAACCTCCAGACTTGGGGTGAGAAATATTCAGACAGAAGCACGTGAAAACCTTAAACCCCTTGAACTATCTTTGCTTGGTACTGTGTTGGCTTTTTTTAAAGGTATTGATTTGTGTAAAATATGGCTGTTCTGTTGAATGTCAATCTGCCTGAATTTGTTTTTATAAATGTGGTTGAGATTTAAGCCAATAGACTTTGATGAAACACATTGTTCTTCACAATGTGGTTTGGCTTTAGTGTGATTTTTATATCATAGAGCTTATGGCTTTATAAGTTTAGACGTAAAAATTTTGAATAATATCCTTTATTAATTTTTAAGATTTTATTTATTTATTTATTTATTTCGTATACAACAGTCTGCTTCCATGTATATCTGCACACCAGAAGAGGGTAGCAGATCTCATAATGGATGGTTGTGAGCCACCATGTGGTTGCTGGGAATTGAACTGAGGACCTCTGGAAGAGAAGTCTCTCCTTGTTCTCTTTCAAATTTATTTTTTCATTCCTTCTTACTACCTACATCTTCACATATATATAACTTCTTCAGTCTGTATAATGTTTCTTGTATGCAATTTTTCAGAACCAATCATTTTGTATTGGATAACCAGTTAGTGTGCTCTTCCCTGGGGAAGACTATTTCTCTGTCTCTCAAAATTCTTTAGTTGCCTGTTGCTCTTTGTATAGAGTTGAGATCTCATGGTCTTTCCCCTATCCACTTTGTTGTCTAAAGGTAAATATGTTTGTGAAAGAAAAAATGACTTGAATTTATACTAAGAAGTTAAGGTTGAAATAATTGTTGACTTTATGTCTACAAGAATCAGGGGGTTTGTAGACATGGCTCAGCAGGTGACAATACACACTCACACTGGTTTTTGCCAAGGACCTGATTTCTATTCCAGCGTTCATATCAGATGTCTCAACCTCCAACTCTAAGGGATCCTAATCTATATGGCCTAGTCTATTGAACTGAATTAATGTTCGTCTCCCTCACCCCAGACACACATGCATATACATAATTATAAACAAAAATAAAAAATATTTAAAAATAATTTATCAGATAAATAAAAGACTATTTCATTTAAGCTACAGCTCTGAAGAATCAAATCACTAATAAGTTTCACCTGGTCATGGACTGCAATGTAGATTATTAATCATCCAGTACAATTTTAGATTCAATAAATTAATATTTTATTTAGAATTACTGTTTAATATAGTTTTATTTGGGAATATTGATTTTTCAGTTTTTGAATCATAATTACTTTAGCCCTGAAACTGTATAATTTTGTTATTCGATTCTAGAAAAATGTATATAACATTAATGTTTAGTAAGACTAACTTTGGAAATTATCAGTGCTTCTGCTCTTTTTAGTATTTTAGTTTACCTATGAAAGGTCCTTATTATGTGTGCCCCCATGACCTGTTTGTGAGGTGCTGGTGATCAAACCCAAGGCTTCATGAATGCTAGGCAGGTATTCTAACAACTGAGTTACTCCCTCCACTCAGGCTGTGTTATCTTCCAAGGTCTGGATTTGAACATGTAGACATTTTAACCTTTGTTTATTAACAGCCATTTAATGATAGATTTTGTCTTCCCTGAAGACTCATTGTAGTGCTTCATAGCTTTAGCATGCAACAGTCTCCTGTCTACAATAGTCTTCATGCAGTTTTGAGTTATTGTTGAACTGAGATTTTCTTTTCTTTGTAGTAAAGTTGTCATTAGAAAATTCACCAAGTCTTCAGGATTAGATTCAGAATCCTCTAAATTGGTCTTTGTATCTCCCTCCTCTTGTTTTTTGGTGAGAGCAAGGGAACTCTGAATCTAGAGCTGTGCACTTACTAGTCAAGTATTCTCAAGTATTCTCTCACTGTGCTGTGTTCCCAACATGTATCTGTCCACTTTGGTTATTTTATTGTCATATTATTATCCTCTGTGGAATACTATGTTTATATTCTGTCCCAAACAACGGAGTGTAGACTTTCCTAGTAAAATTCCAAAACCAAGAGCCTATACTCCCAGAATATCTGACAACGTATGTTTGAAGGATGCGGGATAAAAGAATAAATGTAATGATGCCATTTTACATAGTTCATTACCTAAAGCAGACACTTTCTCAGGGTTCTATTCACAGCTGCCTTTACCTCCTTGTTTTTCAGGCTGTAGATGAGGGGATTCAACATGGGTGTGACTGCACTGTATTGCAAAGACAATAGCAAATCCAGGGAAGAGCCAGAAGGAGGCATGAGATAGCAAAGAAAGCCGGACCCAAAGAATAAGGTCACTGCCGCGAGGTGGGAGGAGCAGGTGGAGAAGGCTTTGCTTCTCCCTGTGGTGGAGCTGATGCTCAAGATGGTGGCGACAATGCGGGCATAGGAGAAGAAGATTGGGATAAAGGTTCCCAGCCCATGCAATAAGCTGGCACCAAGAAGGATGTCAACGGTGATGGAGATATCGGAACAGGACAGGGGGAAAAGGGCAGGCAGCTCACAGGTGTAGTGGTGAATGGTTTGAGCCTCACAGAAGTCCAGGTTGACAGCCAAAAGCACAATGATGGTTGCATTGAGAGAGGCCACGCCCCATGAGACCAAAACAAGCCTCACGCACAACTCAGTTCTCATCACCTGGCCATAGAGTAGTGGGTGGCAGATGGCTGCATAGCGGTCATAAGCCATGACTGAGAGCAGGCAGGCTTCAGTGCCAGAAGAAAAAAACACAAAGAAGACCTGAGCCAGGCAGCCCTCTATAGAGATGCTTTTCTTCTCAGACAGGAGGTCCTTCAGCAGCTTCGGTACCGTGACGGACGAGAAACAGAGGTCTATAAATGATAGGTTGCTTAAGAAGAAGTACATGGGCGTGTGGAGGTGGGAGTCAGCCCTGATCACCAGCAGCAGCATCAGGTTCCCGGTCATGGTGAGGAGGTAAATCCCCAGGAACAGCACGAAAAGTAGAGCCTGGATGAGGGGGTCGTCAGAGAGCCCAGTGAGAATGAATTCTGTGATGGCACTGTGGTTCCTCCAGGCCATTTGTGATTATTTCCTTGGAATAAAGTGGAAAGAGGTGTGAGGTTTCCTGTGGTTTTCGTGCTATCTAGGGCATCATATTGCCTGCTTCTGCATTTTCCCCTGCTTTGAACTTCAGCAATGGCATCTCAGGCTGTTCTCTGTACACCTTGGGATGGGTTTTATCCTTTCAGTCATCACTCTTGGCTCACAGTGTTTACACAGTTCAGAGAATTCCATTTCTGCTCCACAGGGATTACTAGACATATAATATTGCTGGGTTACTTGCACATGTCGTCTTTACTCCATGTTCTACCTACATTGAGTAGCTCACAAATCCTCATTCCCATGTGTCCTAAAGAACATTGTACAGCATGACAGTGGTTGTTCCAAATTTCCCACTCGCTGCATTCCTCTGTTCAGGATAAGCCAAAGATTCTTACCAGCACATACCTTTAATCCCAACACCCAGGAGACAGAGGCAATCAGGATCTCTGTGAGTTTCAGGCCAACCTGGTTTTCAGTGGGAGTTCTAGAACAGGCTTCAAAGCTACAGAGAAACCCCGTCTCAAAAAACGAAACCAAAAAAAAAAAAAAATTGTATTCAGAGGACTTTCTTACTCTTCTTGTGTGTTTTCACAGCAATTCTAGGAAGTATTAAGGTATCTAAGAGTGATGTTCCTTCTATCCTTGTGAAGTGTGACCGTGAGTGGTGATGGTGTGAAGAGGAGCCAGGAGAAAAATGCTCTTGTCCAGGATTTTAGGTGGGTTCCACATGAATAAGGACCAATTTTCCAGCCACGATATTCTGGAATTTTCCTCAATTGCTCTAACTTGATTTTCAGTCATTTCCCCCCCCTCTCTCTCTCATTTTTTTTTTGTAACAGGGTTTCTTTTTTAGCCCTAGCTATTCTGGAACTTGCTCTGGAGATCAGGCAGCCTGGCCTTCAACTCACAGAGCACCGCCTGTCACTACCTCCTGAGTGCTGGGATTAAAGGTGTGCACCACCACTGGCCCGTTCCTCCTCTCTTTTATTACATTTATTTTGGAGCTTGAGGAAGATTTTATTGGAATTAAAACAAGCAAAAACCCCTAGGACAGCAAGCTGTAAATCCCCACAGCTCCCTGGAGGAGAGAGATGAAGACATGTATGGAGGTCAGCCACTTGGTGGACAAGCAGCAACGAGTCAGGGACAGGGGTTGTGGAGAAGGTGAAAACTCCAAATAGTAGGGGAAGGCTGCTTAGTCCCTGGCAGCGTCAGAAAGAAAAAGAAGAGATGAAAAAGGACAGGTCACACCGTCCTGACTTAGGTCTCTGAAAGGCAGGCAGACAGACAGACAGACATTCGTGGTGGCTCCAAACTGACTACAAGGAGGGTGGAATTTTCCTTTTTTTTTTTTTTTAAGACAAGGTCTTATATACTGCAGACAGGCTTTGAGCTCAGTATTTGAGGGTAACTGTGACTTCTTGATTCTCCTGTTGCCTTTAATGTTGGAGCTGTAGGTATGCACCAGCATGCCCGGGCTCATTTATTTTCTTTAAGAACGGAATGTTTTTCTCTTGTGGTTTTGCTCATACTGCCATCCATTCCCATGCCCTCTCTTATTCTAGTGGTCCGAACTCATATCTGCCTTTCAACCTCAATGCACACCTTGTTATTTCTTTCTCAGCTTGAGCTTAAATTCTGCTCCAAAGGGCAGACCCACCAGCCAAACTAAAGAGCATCTTAGACCCCAGTTAAGGTTACTGTGAGTGTGGACAGAGACACATGTGTGTGCAAGGTTACTGTGAGTGTGGACAAACAGGTACCTTCATGTGTGTAATTTCAGCTCTATTCAAGGATGCTGAAGCTTGGACATTGACAGCCACATATTTTGATGACCCTGTGTGAATAAGTTTATAAACATAGATGAAGGTCTATATAAGTAATTTGAGGTGGTATATTTCAAGGATTTGGATAATTTAGTCACAAGGAAACACCAACAGTGTCTTTGGGGATCATGAAGTCTCAGCCAAGGATAATACAGTATTTCTGAAGAATATTTTTCCTTATAACATCCATGTTTTGCATGGATGAATGCATTTTTACATTAGATGATTTTAGAAACACCATAAGGAAAGGATACAGCCCTCCTCATCATCTTAAAGGGATTTTCAAACTGATTCCAGAGTTATTTATATATATATATATAGTGTGTGTGTGTGTGTGTGTGTGTGTGTGTGTGTGTGTGTGTGTGTATGTGAAGGTCAGAGGTTAATGTGAGGTGTCTTCTTCAATTGTTTTTTGTTTTTTGAGACAGGGTCTCTCACTGAAACCTGGATTCTGATTCAGCTATAGTGGCTGGCAAGCCAGATGTCTCCATCTCCCCAATACTTGTGTCTTGTGCATGCACTGCTGGCCTGAGCTTTTGTGTGAGTGCTTGGGATCAAACATGGTGCTCACACAGCAAGCACTTTACCAATGTAGCCATTTACCTAGCACCTTGATTCTAGAGATTTTTAAAATTAAGTAAAAATTTTCCATACATTTTTTTCTGACATGGTTTCCCCTCCCTCATCTACTCCAAGATCATCTCCACCCCCCCAACCTGACAAACTCCATGCCTTCTTTCTGTCTCTCTCTAGAAAACCAACAGGTAAATAAAAAATAAAACCAGAATAAAACAAAAGCAAACAAATGGGAAAAAACTAAATAAAAGCACAAGAAACATACACATATGCAGCAACATACACACATCATACAAAACCCATAAAACCACTTAATTGGAAACCATAATATATAAACCAAAGACCAAAAAGGCTAAAAAGATGCCCAAACAAAGCATTGCGAGACAAAGCAGCTCCAAAAGTGTCATCGAGTTCACTTTGTGTTGGCTATTGGGGGGCCACCAGGTTGCCTAAGAAGGGATGATTCAGCCCAGGTCAGATTCTAAAAACGACAATATTCAAACACTTCTAAATTCTAGATAAAAAGTTCTAAGCAAGCTAAATATCTCAGCTTTCACTCACTGCTTTGAATGAAATACTTGGACTTATTTTATACTGACACTTGGACTCATGCTGGATTTATATATAGATGGGCGAGAACAAAAGACTGATGATGTCTAAGGAGAGAGGATTAAGAGTAAGAATTAGGAAAAGACGATTTTAGAAGGGTCCCAGATAGCTTCTCGCCCACTGGTTGTTTGGAGATGTATTTGGAATAGGAAAATGAGTTAAGTGTAGATTTAGAAGGTCAGCTTGGACCACGTAGCCTAGGGCATCTTTAGAGCTGGGAGCAAAATGTAGGACTTAGGGTGAGGATATTTCCAGCTGTCTCCTGTGTTCATCCACACGACTGATATTGTCTCACAGTGTAGTAGTTTTAATCATAGGAAAGCTTGAGGGTGAGGATATTTCCAGCTGTCTCCTGTGTTCATCCACACGACTGATAGTGTCTCACAGTGTGGTACTTTTAATCATAGGAAAGCTTACTAATGGGAGTTCTGTGAAAGCTGGAGGGAGAAGTATCTCCAATAATTTCTGATACTCTTGCATCCCAGCAGGAGGTTTTCTGCAATCTTTTGGAGTCTTAAAGCATGGAGAGATTTATGCACAGTCTTTAAGATGTCCTTTCCCATATCTTGCAGTGAAGGGAGAGAAGCTGCCCAAAGCATGTGGGACAAATATGACACATTTAGAAAGATACAACAGGGGCTATCTCAGGGAAGGAGAGGGCTTTCAGAGGACAGGGGTTTCCATCTCTAGTGGAAGGAAGTGTGGGATGAACAGAACAGGAGATTCAGTATCTGGCACTGTTGGGATGAATCAGAGATGGAGGAAAGAGTGGTTAACAAAATTAAAACACAATTATTATCTGTCAGAAATAAAAATTAGGAACATCAGCTACCCTGGCATATATTACAGTGCTTCTGGAGTCTCTTGAAGGAGGCAGCTTCTTCACACTCTGGATCTCCTGTGGAAGTCAATACACCACAGGTAGAGTCTTCCTGGGGGAGGGAGGGATAGGAGAGGAGAGACAGAGAGACAGAGAGACAGATAGGGACAGAGAGACAGAGAAGAGAGAGAGAGAGAGAGAGAGAGAGAGAGAGAGAGAGAGATATCTCACCTTGTCACAAGAATACTGCTCTGGGAGAAGAGTTCTTTTCTTGTTGTCAACAACTGTTGGGTTAGAATGACTCTAGAAACACTAGAAATGCTACAACATTGAGACTCTTCTGGAGTGAATCCCAGAGTGGTGTCACTCTGTAGTGCGAAACACTAAGGAAAACCACAAATATTTCCTCTAAAGAAGCTCGCATTTCACACAGGTATCCATTTCATTAAGACATCATCACAGGATCTCAGATCAAGTGAGAAACCATCTCTCTGTGCTAGTCTGAATATGCTTCCTTTGTGGTATTCTGAATGCTATTATTTTAAGAATATTAGTCAAGGAACTCTCTAGCAGAACCAATCAGAAGGCTACCTGTGCTCATGTATCAATAGGCTGTGTTTGGCACCCAGGGGATGCTGGGCCGGTATCCTCTGAAGTCTCAGACTGAAGCCAATCTCTGGACTCACTAATTGCACAATTCCTCATTAACCAGGAGGGAAAGCAATGGGAAGAACAGTGGTATTTGGGCTGTCTAAATTAAAACAATTTAAATCCTAGAAGAGAACTTTTATGAGGTATATAGAGATTAGGAAGTATCTTTTTAGGAAAATGTATTCTCAGTTAAGCTTATTTTCTTCGTGACCACATGGGGGCTGAAATGCTCTTCAGAGATTCCAAAGTCACTGAACTGTGACATATTACTGAGCTCCAGTATTATTTTCTTATGCAATAACCACTGTGTAGATTTTTCTTATTTATTTGACTGTTACTATCTTATTATCTGATTCCTCTTATTAAATGAACGCACTTCAAGCTCTATGAAAGTCAAACTCTTCCTGTTTTGTTTCAATCTATCTGTAGTTTGGCCCATATAAAGAAACCAAGTTATGGATATTGAAAAAAAAAAGCAATGGATTCAAATTATA